TGCCTCTGAACATTTCATGTAAATGGAACCCTATAATAGGTATCTTTTGTGTGTGGCGTCTTTCACCCAACATGAAGTTTTTGAGATTCATATTTATCTGCTGATTCTATCAGTGATTCGTTTTTATTACTGAAGAGTTTCATTGTAGGGATTTATCACATTTTGTTTCTGTACCAGTGGTGGACATTTTATTGGTTTCTAGTATTTGGCTATCATGAATTATGCTGCTATGCTTGCAAGACTTTTAAAAATTTTCACTTGAGTAGGTAGATATCTAGCTGTTGAATTGTTGGGACATATGGTAAGATTATGTGGAAACATTTTTGTTTTACATGCCCGCCACTATCTCCACATCGTCACCAACACTTGGTATAGTCGGTCCTTTTTTATTGTAGCTAGGAAATCATTTGTTGGCAATGGAAAATGGAACCCCTATGAACTTCACTTTTGAAGAAGGGATGGTATTTCTTGCCTCCCCATATCTTACAGGATTGCTCTGAAGATCAAAGGAGATCGAAATTTATGTGAAAGGGCTTTTTAGTGTAAAACTGTTACTGGTGAGTATGTGCAGAAAAGTATTTAGCTGTTAAATTTAACACATATCCGTCTCAGAGATTAAGATGAAAACTTGCCCAAGTGTTAATAAAATGTGTATGTTATGGTTGAACTTGTTCTACCTTCTTATAAAGGCATATTTTACTCAAGTTGTGAGCTTCCTCCATATGCCTGCATTGTACATTAAATTATCAGCCTTATTTCACCGTGACAGGATATAATGGTTTGCATATGCTGGGCAGTTTTTTCTTTCCCACTCAAACTTGGATGGTCTGGTAAATGTCTGCTTGTGACTTCATTTTCAAATACCTGTGGGTGGCCTCTTTTCTGGACCTGGGCATATGTGTTCTATTCCAATGGAATGGAAGGAGAAAGTCTGGGGACTTAGAGAAACGACCAGGAAACAGTTTATCTATGTAAAAACAGGCATTGCAACGGTTTTACTTTGCAATTCTGATTCTATGAAAATGGCCAGTTTGAACTTTTTCAAAGAACAAAGGGAGTTTTGAATGCATTTTCCTCCCTACCTGTGGAAGCCAGCTGCCACAGGTCTAGGGGAACTGGCCTGGGGGCCCTCAGTTTGCTATGTGGGGCTGTATTTCATAAAACTTGCTTATCAGCCGCTCTTCACACCTGTTGAGAAAGACCTTTGGACTCAGGAAGTTGAACTGTGTGTTTGACCATATACCACTGTGTCCATAAAAGGCTTGATGGCGCTTCAAGTGAAAAGGTAAACAGAAACAACAAAACTCAAGTAAAAGAAGCTGCGCGCCTTATATAGTTTCTGGGAGTTTATAGTTCTGGGGGTTTATATTAATCCTGGCGACAATTTATATTAATTCAGCAATGCTTCCTAATAAAAACCTTAATTTATTCTTACTAAATAGACAGTTTTAATAATTGGGAAATGTGCACATGAAATCCTTTTCTGATAAAAATCATGCAGGTGATGGTCATAGCAGCCGTGCCTTGGACCCAGGATCTTGGAATGGTGGTCCATTGAATTAGTATTTCATGATTTTACCTACTGAGCAAAAGTTCTCACCTTACATGACTTTGAAAATTTCTATTTCAGGGGTGGGCAACCCCTGGCACGCGTGCCAAACATGGCACACCAGTAACTTTTGCTGGTACGCGAAACCCTCTCTTATAATCTTCCATTTACAATTTTTTTTCTTACTATCGACTTTTATTTTTCAGATAAATTCAGTGTAGGTGCATCTTAGATAAATAAATAATTTTACATAATATGTATACATTAAAAAATAAATGTATTTTTCATCACCATATACTGTGTTTTTGTCGCTTGAATTTTATTATTTCTTCAAGGTTCTTCACATATGTACACCTCAAGAGATATCAAGTAGGCGTAACATCTTCTCAAAAAATTAGGGTTGGCATGCAGAAGAATATTGATTCAGAGATTTTGCTGGTTTTGGCACGCACTCACAAAAATGTTGCCCACCCCTGTTCTATTTGAATATGGGTACATGCATGTTTGTGCACACGTGTGCTCACATGTGTGTAAGTATTTCAAAGCTTTCAAATGTCGCAGTCTCCAAAGTGTGAATTAAAAAGAAGATGCAAAATGTAGTTGAGGCCCTCCGAAATCCTTTTCTTGAGCATCTATAATAATATCTATAATAATAAAGGCGTAATATGTTAATTAGACCGGACTACCTTCTGGATGAAGCCAGGGCTGCCAGGGAAGCCTGTTTCTCGGGTGCCAGAGGGAAGCCGGTGCCGGCAGCCGGGGGAAGGAAGGCCTACCCTTGCATGATTTTCATGCATCGGGCCTCTAGTTACTAATAACATGGTTTGTTATGGAATGATATTTGAGAGGTCTTAGAGGAGGCCCGAAGTAAATGTTCTTTTGGGAAGCAGCTGTTTACTAATCAAGAATCAGAACTGTCAGGCGGTTGGTTCTCATTGTTTCTGGGTGTTACCAGCATCTCAGCCTGCGTTGGGCATCAGAGGCACATGACCCACTCCTGTGGAGATAAGAGCGCACCGCTGCTGGTGTCATGCGTGTTCTTTAAATAAGCAGACTCAGGACTTACAGAGAAACCCCTCATACTCATTTCTGATGATCTTTCCACCTTGATCGTGGAGGATTTCAACCCCTCTTTGGAGGGGTGGTGAAGGAAGGATGAGGTTAATTTAAAATTCCTTTAATAATGAGAAATCGGGTGCCCATGGGGAGGGCCTTGTGTGGGGCTGTCATAGGGGATACTAGGAAAGTTGCAGAACTCACACAGGGAATCATGTGAGCCGGTGCCCTTTCAACTTGAGGCCTCAACCACCTTGATGTTCTTGGAAATGCTTGTAGAATCTCATGCACATGTGGCCCCGCCTCTGGGTCCCTCTGCTTCCGGAGACCCTGGGTCCAGTTAGCTGGCCCCAGATGCTTTCATCCAACTCAAGGTGACTTACTGGATCCTGAGTGACAGTGGTGTAAAGGCAAACATTTTGGGTCCTGGCTGGTTATCGATGGCACCAAGGGAGTAACTTAAATTGAATTTTTATATCTTCTTAAAATTTTCCTCACAGGGGGTGGGACGGAGAAAGAGAGAGAGAGAGAGAGAGAGAGAGAGAGATTGATTGAAAGTGATTGTATGTGATAACTGGCCACTTAAAGGGGCCTTTGTTTTATACTTTAATTATTGACTAATGTATTAATGCATTTGATTTATTTATGAGTTATTTTAAGGAGATAAATAGAGTCGGTGTGATGTGTGGGAAGAGCCTGGGGTTAGGAATTGGAGAGACTTGAGACCTGGCGGGGTCACTCACTGAGACATCAGGCAAGAAGTTAGGCTCTGAGCTTCCGGTTTTTCCCAGGGAGGGGATTCCTATCTTACTGAGGATTAGTATTAGATATAGAGTGTCATTGAGCACATGACCAGGACACCTCATGGGCACTCCGTTACTGCAAGCTGTTGTTTTTGCTATTTATAAAGGGCAAAAGTAGCCTAAATTCAGTATACTTCTGTATCACTTACTTCCTGCCAACTCTTTGTTAACAGAGCAGTAGTAACCCCTTAAACTGGAAGTTTAACATGCCATAGCCAATATATTGTAAATTATAACAGAAATTATGCAGGCCATTGAAATGAGGTTGAAAGTTCTAGAAAAAGAAGTTGTTCCGTTTAACTGCTATGTCAAGTTATAATTTGGTATATTTTTTTCCAGTTTTGTTTTTGTTGGAGTTCATGAAATGGTTGAGCACAGTAGAAATAACGTAATGAGATACTAAAGCTGCCCATCATATGGGTGTACATCATAAAGGCAACTTTTTATGATTGGAATGACCAGCGAACACCCAGTAATTTCTTCAAACTCCTTTATCACTCCTTCTTGGAAACAAATAGTTTCTATGTTGTGAAATCAAAGGAAGAAAAGCTAAAAATATATTTATTTCATTTGTCCACTTGGGAAATTACAATGGAAATGAAATCAATGCCAAAAAATATTCCCTTCATTAAAACAATGGGATCTGGAAGTTATCGTTTGAACTACAACCCCAGACTGTGGAGTGTTTGGTGTCTGTTGGAATCCTACCCACATTCCTACCAGTGGATGGGGTTCTGATAGTTACTGAAATGTTAGTCCCTCTCTTGGTGAATCCAGTTGACTCATGGATTTGGTACAAGTAGGGAGTCTGAAGCCTCCAAGAGGGGCTTGGGCCCAGGAAAATGGGAGCCCTCGCAGGTCCCAAAAAGTTATCAACTTGGGTGAAGCAGAGTAGTGACCTGGCCAAATCTGTGGTTTCTGGAAGCCAACTGCCTGGGGTTGAGTTCTCTCTCTGTCTTGAGATGATGGGCATAAAACTTTACCTCTAGGCCTCTATTTCTCCATCTGTAAAATGGGCATGATAATAGTTCCTGCCTCAACAGGTGTTTGTATATAAGTGAAATGAGATAATCCCTATAAGTCAGTTTCACCCAGTAACACAGGGGCTACAATTTTCTCAGCCCCCTCTTCGATATTTTTGTCCAAGTGGGCCTCCCTCTCTGTCACACTTCTCTGTAGTAAAGCTTGCAGGTGATGCTTTCTGAAGAGTCATTCTTTGCTTGTTTGAGAAGAACATTTGCATTTCAAAAATTTTCTTTTTCTTTTTAAAATATATTTTTATTGATTTCAGAGAGGAAGCGAGAAGGAGCGAGAGATAGAAACATCAACAATGAGAGAGACTCATTGATCGGCTGCCTCCTGCACACCCCACACTGGAGATCGAGCCCGCAACCTGGGCATGTGCCCTGGACCAGAATCGAACCCGGGACCTTCCAGTCTGCAGGCCAACGCTCTATCCACTGAGCCAAACCAGCTAGGGAAAAAAAGTTTCTTTTTAAAGGAATGTCGTAGTCATAGTAATTTTGAGGGTGGTGTTTTGCCACAACATGCAATCCAAATGCATCATTAAATTCTGTTTATTTTGTTTACAGGGAACACGGGTCTGGCTGAGAGAGAATGGCCAGCATTTTCCAAGTACTGTCAATTCCTGTGCAGAGGGCGTCGTCGTCTTCCAGACAGACTATGGTCAGGTGAGCACCGGTCCCTTCGCCCAAGGAATGCGAAGTGCGCACCTCGAGTGTGTGTGAGACGCAGTGACATTCCCCAGGAAGGGTCCCAACCAGGGCGGGCCAGAAGAGCCTCCACTTGGCTCCACTTGGCCGGTCTCCTTCCTGGGGGCTCTTGTCCAAGAATCAGAAGTATGGAATGCAAGCAGCTGGAGGAAAAGTCCGAATATACTGATGTTTGCTCATTGGTTTCCTTACCACTTTCCCTTAAAATTCTTAAACTATTCATAGAGTATCGGAGATACTGGCCGGCCAGTGAGGAGGTAGTGTGGTGGTGTCTGGTTCCTGTCAGAATCAGACTGACTAACCCCCTCGCCTGAGCTACCTATCCGCCTTGTTAAGCACCTGCAGAAGTTCCTTCTGTGTGTGGGATCCTGCTGCTCCTGGTTCTCCATTTTTGTGTGTAAAACAAATGAAAAGCCCCATCATTGAAAACCGAAATACGATGTGAATCCAGAAACTGGCTCATTGATTGTACAGCTGACTCTTGAACAACACAGGTTTAAACTGTGCAGGTCCGCTTATGCATGGATTTTTCTTCGTGTTTTGTTTTTCTTAGTACATTTTTATTGATTTCAGAGAGGAAGGGAGAGAGAGATAGAAACATCAATGATGAGAATAATTGACCAGCTGCCTCCTGCATGCCCCATACTGGGGATTGAGTCTGCAACCCAAGCATGTGGCCTGACCAGGAATTGAACCGTGACCTCCTGGTTCATAGGTCAATGCTCAACCACTGAGCCACGCCAGCCAGCCCTGGATTTTTTGTTTTTTTCCCCCCAAGAAATGTTGTAAATGTGTTTTATCTTCCTTATGACTTAATGTTTTCTTTTCTCTAGCTTATTTTATTGTAAGAATACAGTATATAATGTATATAAATATACAAAATGTATGTTAATCGACTGTTCATGTTATTGGCGAGACTTCTGGTCAAAAGTAGGCTATTAGTAAAGTTTTGGGAGAGTCAAAAGTTATATGCAGATTTCGACTGTGCAGGGGGATAGGTGCCCATACATGTTGTTCATCAACTATATCTGAGTAATTGTGAAACGAGCCCAGTTTCTCCATTTTTATAAAGAAAATTAATTTTAATATTACAAATGGGTCCCTCCCTCAGAGGCACACATCAGAATTTAAGACATCAAGAAATAAAAGGATGTCCTATACCAGTATTTAAAACTCAGTTTCTGAATGTCATTTGTAAGTCGTGCTAAGCATGAAAGCTGCAAGCTCAGTGCTGTGTAGTTTGAGGCAGACGAGCTCCTGGGCGCTCTCTGCCTCTTAGCCCAGCTGGTCCCTGGGGTGGCACCTTTCTCATTTCTCGGCTTCATGAGGAGTGATTTTACTGGGCTGTTCTGTAGTTCCTCAGATGCTTTTTCATCTGAGTCTTGAATGGCTCTTCGGAATTCATCTGGTGGTGTGAGGATACAGCTGTGTTTTATGGACGTAGATTGGGGGGTGGCATAGGGATGAGGTGGCAAAGGGATCACATGTTTACCAGCCCTCTTCCCATCGGGTTGTCAGGTCGTGTTGTGTGATCCATAAACCGACTAAATGACTTCTGCTGAATTCAGGGTGGGGCGCCGCTGTGATGCGGAAGTTCCCGTGCAGGCGTGGTCAGCATTTTTCTGTCTTTCCTTGACTTCTGTCTCTTTCTTGCTCACTGACCCCACGAATTCAGTCCCTTTCAGGCCCTGCACATGCTTCTCAAATGCAATAAAAAAGGAAACAATACTTACTCAACGTACCAGTTTGGTGTAAGTATTCCTAAAAGATTTATAATGCAATTATTTGTTGTTGTTGTTAACTTATCTTTTAATCCCAAAGATAATGTTTTAAACCTTTTTTCCCTTTTTGAAAAAAAAGTGGTAAAAATCCACACAATATTAAATTTACTGTCTTAAGCGCTTTATCGTGCAGTTCGGGAGTGTTAAGTACATTCACAGGCTGTGCAACAGAGCTCTAGGCCTCTTTCGTCTCGCAATATGGAAACTATACCCACCAAACACGGGTTCCCCATCTCTGCTCCCCCAGCCCTTGTAACCCCCTTTCTGCTTTCTGTCTCTGTTACTTTGCCTGCTTCACATACTTCATATGGGTGGAATCATACAATATTTGCCATTTTTTTGTGACTGGCTTATTTTGCTTTACTGTCCTCAAGGTTCTAAGACACTTTCTGTTCTTATTTGCGCTTTGCTTAGTGGATGGAGGCTTCTAACATGGCAACTTCAGCAGCATTTTAGTGCTACTGCCTGTGACACGTGGTCAGCAGTCCGTGTCACAGCCCATGGACAGCTCTCGGGGAGGGTGGAAGTGGAATGGGATGGTCAGGGAGTAGTTCTGTTCACTCTTGACAGTATTTATGGATTGTGGGTTTAGAAAGAACGAAGCCAGAATAACGTGTACTTAAACATGAAAACAACTCTCAACGTGGACTCCTGATCTTCAATCGGTCTTCAAATACTTGGCCTTAATGTTGTCTACTCTGTCATTCCCAAGTCTAACAAGTATAATTAGCTTGGTGATTTGTGTAGGAATTGCAGGGTTTAAAATATGAGAAAAGTGAGATGAGATTGAAAGCATTGGGCTCAGACTAGGATCAAGAACTGGCAGTGGCCAAAAGACTCTAGTTTCTTTCTTTCTTGACCTACAAGTTCACTGTGGGGCGTACAGGCGTGGTCACCGAGGAGGAGGAGAAGTTCATTAACTGGTCCTGGTGCCCAGGAACACCACCTGCTTTTTAACTGGGTTGGGATAAATTCTTTTTTAAAAAAAATCTTTGTTGTTGAAAGTATTATATATGTCCCCCTTTTCCCCCCATTGACCCCTTTTAGCCTGCCCCCGACCCTGCCCCATCCAGGCCTTCACCACCCTATTATCTGTATCCCTGAGTTATGTATAGATGCATACAAGGTCTTTGGTTGATCTCTTCCTACCCACCCACCCACTCACCCTCACCTTCCCTCTGAGATTCACCAGTCTGTTCAATGCTTCTATGCTCTGGACCTGTTTTGTTGAACAGTTTTATTTTGGGATAAATTCTTGAAGGAATCTGGTCAAAGGTGCAGAGCATGGCCTTGTCCTAGTCAAGCCCCCGTGTCTAGTAATTTTCCAAGGCATTGGCTGATTTCAACCCAATTTGGTATGTTATAAAAGGGTGTTAAGAAATTGTTGTTTCTGACCTAGCCAACGTGGCTCAGTCAGTTGGGCATCCTCCGGTGCACCAAAAGGTTGCTGGTTCGATTGCCAGTCAGGGCACTGCCTGGGTTGCAGGCTTAATCACTGGTAGGGGGTGTGCAGAAGTCAGCTGATTGATATTCTGCTCTCACATCGCTGTTTCTCTCTCTCCCCCTAAAAAATAAAATCAATAAATTATTTTAAAAAAGAAAAGAAATTGTTGTTTCTGGGGGAGAGAGAGGAACTGGGATTTATTGTTTAATGAGTACAGTTTCAGTTTGGGAAGATGAAAAGGTTGTGAAGATGGATGGTGGTGTTGGTTACACAACTGTGTGAATGGATTTAATGCCACTGAACCGTATGCTTAATGGTCAAGATGCTAACTTTTATATTCGTATGTATATTTTAGCGCACACACACAAAAAAGATAGTAATGTTTGAAGTCAGATGGTAACTGGTAAAACATGCCAATGGGTATCTTTCTATATCTTTAAAAATACTTCTGATTAAATTTTTATGTTGCCAAAATAGGACTTCTCAGAAACATAGACGGCTTGAAAAATGAATTACTCTTTGGCTCAGAGCAGTGCACCTCAAACTTTACTATCCACGAATCATATGGGGGGTCTCCTTCCAATGCCAGGTCTGATCGGCAGGTCTGGGGTGGGGCCTGAGGGTCTTGCATTTCTCACAAGCTCCTTGGTGACTTGATGCTGCTGGTTCTTGAGCCCCAGTTGAGGAGTGAGGATTTAGAAGACATTCCTGGAAGTCACCTTAGGGTCATGGTTACGGCAGGGAAGTCTCTCCGACCTCTTCCATCCGTCACCTTGGAGGACACAACGATCAAGATGAGGTGGAGGACTTTGTAGAGAAAGTTGGAAAATATTTCTTTGGTCTTTCAAGGCTTTTCTTTTCTTGGTGTCCTCCCTTCCAACAACCATTTTATCTTGAGCGTGGCCAGGGGTGGTGCTGGCTGCAGCATAATAATCCTCAAGTGGATTAAACAGCAGTTTTTAAAATTCTATTTAGTGTTAGAGACCAAGGAGAGCCTTGTGTAACTGAAATCCTACAATGGAACTCCGGGGGCCCTGGGAGGTAGTAGGCGATAGTGTGGCAGCACAAAAGGGCATGTTTTCTTATTTCCTTCAGTCTCTGAGAATTTTGCACACTCATGCAAGCTGTTCCTTTTTGGCAAGGGAGATGGTTTTAAAGCTCACTTAAAATTCCATTCCACGCGAAAATCTTAATTGCTGTTGATTGGTCCTGGAATACGGAGGACCGAAATACTCCCCTTGGACTCATAACTTAGGCTACACTCACCAGCAGGTATTTGCAGAAGGAAAAAGAAATGTGCAAGTGACAAGCTAACACACTTGGTTGAAAAATATGCATAGCTGTGTCCTCGGGAGGATGCAGTACACGGGCAGGTCAGCACATGTCCTGAAATGTCAAAATTACTAGCTTATCGTCCTAGATAACAAGCTTTGGACAGAGATTTAGAAGAGCCAAATTAAAAGGCACCACGATTCTGCAGGGTGCGGATGTGGCCGAGCGCTCAACTCCTGTCCAGTGCTGTCTTCCAGTCTTACCCTTGCTGACGTGAGGATGTCTTTTCTGGAACATTCACGAGGCACACGGGTGATCACAATAGCACCCTTTATGCACAGTGTAGAATTGAGTAATAAATTCTAAATTAGATTTTTTCACTTTGAGAGTGAACTGTTATCTCTGATTGCTCTGAAATTGCTTAGAGAGAGATCAGTTTACTTAATTGTATTTTAAAGGGT